TTTCTACTTAACAAAATTAACTGTTAAGATATTACTTTTTTCAGTTTGAACATCCTATTTCCTTGTGTTACAAACCAGGCCTCAAATACAAAATGTCTATTGATCCTATACACATAAACATTACATGTATGGCTTTTCTATGATGCTGCCTCTGGAGGAAAAATGCTTTCCAAAACTTTAAATACTTTGTCATATTTTTTATTAAAGCTTCAGTTTGTTTTTGAATTATATAAAAAGATACAGTTGGATATGTAATAGATATATAATGATTGAGCACAAATCTGAAATTTGTTTCTTCTGGACTATCTGAAAGGTTTAACGTAAGAAATAATAACATAAGAAATAATCATCTGAGAGGGAGAAAATCTTTAACAACACTTTACATCAAAGGTTTCAACATTTACAATTGATTTGCTTTTCTCAAATAACCTTCACTACTTTTAGTTAATGCTGGATTATTTGCTTACAAGATGTATAACATGCAGTATGTATTTCATTACATTGTCATTACCTTTCCTTACCTTCCTCTTTCAGTTTTTTTAAACATTCCTTTGTTGTCTGTTTACATATTGTATCATTTTCGATTCACAACTTGGCCTACAGTCAGTTTTTCTTTAGCAACATACTATCTTGTGGAAAGATAATAAGGTGCCTCATTAGTAGATTAATTAGTTGTACAACATTTTAATAGCTTGTTACATGAAAAATTATTCAAAACCATTTCCCATTGTTGTGCAATATAATTTATGATTGGGTCATAAAATAGTTTATTAACACTTATTTATGATAAAAGGATGCTGTCAGTTTGATTCCCCCCCCCCATTAATATGAACAATGTCTTGTAAAACTTAAAAAAAATTGTAACATCATCTATGTTAGGTAAGAGCACCTTTCCCCAAACTTGATGCTTTTCAAATATAAGGGACAACTTATAAAATTAAGCCAGAATTTGATAGGCAAATCATCATTCCTGTTGATTGACAAGGGGCCTGATTCCCAGGCTTCAATACATCCCTGGCTGTTTTTGTGCCTGCTCACCCAACAATCTTAAAGGCTGCAAAACTGATGGGAGTTATGTCCAATGTAATCTACTGAATCCCCTGCGTGGATTGCCCCTGTGACTATGTAAGACAGATGGGAAAGAAGCTAACTAATAGACTGCAAGAACACAAATGACCTGTCAAATTCATTGGTAACCTCACACTAAAACAAACGAGGACACACATTCAATTTTGCAGCTATTAGGATTGTTGGACGGGTAGGCACAAAAAAAGCCATAGAAGTGATTGAAGCCTGGAAAACAGCCCCCCCACCCCCCACCCCCGCATCAGTCAACAAGAGTGCTGATTTATCACCAGTGTATCAAGTTAATAGAAGGCAAGGGCTGGGTAGCGCAAGCAAACAACAACCAACAATTTAAAAGGCAGTCATCAGCTTATCCCAATCAACATCTAAAAAGCCACATACAACAGGCACTATAAATACCAAACACAGAACAGCACATACTCTGCTAAAGAGAAATTCTCTGAAAATGGGCTCCAGCACTAGCCCGAAAGCTCAGAAGATAAAACCACTGGTCCCAGTGATCGACCCAGATTGGATCCTACAACATTATCCTGAGACACATAGTCACTTTCATTCGTGACTATTACTACAGTTCTTTCCCTAGCTCTCTCTTTTAAAGGCGTAATGTCCTTTTACTTTATTCTTAGTTTTATTTCATCATCTACTCTCCAGCTTTTATATATTATTAGTCCTGTTTGATGTTGAAGTAGCCTGGAAATGTTCTCTTTTACTGAGTTGCTTCTCTATCATTCAATCCTTATTGGTTTAATAGGAGGGAAAAAGCAATTACTTGTTGATTGGCTGTAGCTGGCCCTCATGTTTGCAAGACTTGTGATGATGTAAAACCTGCTACTCTTTATTAACTGGTAATTTCACAACCTCCATGCTTACTTCACCAACCTGTTTTCATTTCACCTCCTCCACGCACATCTGTTCTCCATCCAAATGTCCTTTGCAGTGACCCCCCCTCACCCTATGCAGGCCTTCAGCATTTCTCTTCTATCTCTTTGAACTACAGGTATGTGTTTTGCTGTCTTCAAGTCCCAAACACACAAAACGACAACAAAACTCACATCAGCAGCCTTGAGTATTTCTTTCCACAGTGATGCAGAGAACTTTGCATAATATTGACAAATCAATTTTTAGTTGGGGACAAAAAAGTCTAAAAAATGCTCTACAATTTCTGGTGCAGCTTTAGTAAAATGACCTGGGCCAATCTCTCTCTCTCAACTCATCCTACGTGAAGAGTTGTTCCTTTGAGGGTGGGAAACCAATATATAATTGCCTTTGTGCTTAAAAAAAAGAAAAGAAATATATTAAAGCAATAATGTTTGTTTTTTTAAATTGAGAAAGGATGATCGAACCTTCATTTATAGTTCTTGCTTATGAACAGCCTCATTTAGCAGTTGCTTGAAGGTATAAAAAATAGCTTTGAGGAAGTCCTTGGTGCTCTCTGAGCTTGGTTGTTTTCTTGCAGACATTTCATTACCCAAACTAAGTAGCATCATCAGGTCTAGTAGTCAAAAATAGCTTTGGATACAATCTTCACATTTACCACGATCACATCATGCCATGGTCATGTGATTGCCATTTGTGAGCTTCAGAACTGACTTGCAACACACGCAGAGTTAATAGAAAAGACGGAAGTAAAATCGTAAATCACAGGCATGTTCCCCTTAATTAACCAAAGCGGGGAGATTATAAACCCATGGTGATGATGTGATTTTTTCACTGTGACATTCAGCGATGAAGTTGCCAGACCCAAATGTAGTCATTAATCAAGGGCTACCTTTCACTGTTTCCAACCCAGATAACTTGTGAGGGAAGTTTCACAGAAAGAAAAGCATCAGAAAGTGCATTCCCTCAAGAACGGGGCTGTGAAACTCCTAGCCCATGGGCCAGATGCGTCATCTGCTGGCCATGCCCACGCCCAGTTTAGCAAAGGGGGGAAATGTCCCTATACATCATGTGATGCCGCCGTGACCATGGAGTTTGACAACCCTGCTCAAGGAAAAACAAGGCTTGAGGAAACTTTCAGTTTTTATCACTTGAGTTTGAAAATACAGCCAGGAAATCTTCCCAGGCAAATCTGTTCTATTTTTAGTCCTAGGTAAGAAATCCTATAATTTATATTGAACTTCAAAACATCTCTAAATTGCAACTAATTTTCCCTTGCAAATCTTTCAAAATGTTCAAATCCTCTTGACATCAACACAAGATTTTCCAGCAGTGGTTAAGGCTAAAATCCCATCTATATTTATTTTGTCAGTGAACCATTACATCATGTCAGAGTTTTACTGTTTTGGATGGGAGGCACCTTATAGAACTGAATGCCACTCCACTAAATAATAAATATTGAGAATGTTTATGGAAAACTAGATGTCAGAGAAAAGGGTTTAGCCTAATACCAAAGCTCTCTGTCATATGCCGGTTTTGGGTGTGTATGTATAAACCTAAACTTACATAATGTAACACTCAACTCCTAACTTCAAGTCTTGAACGTATTTAAAAGTGTCTTAGTAACGTCTTACCCTTAAATTGTTAAGTCACGATTAAAATATCTGGAACAAAAGCCAAACAAATCAACAGTGAACAAGTTTAATGACTCAAATACTGTGTGATGAACTGAGTGAGAAGCTGAACAGTGTAGGGCGAGCTGGGGATAAACATCTTTTTCTTCTTATTATATCTGTAAACATTCCAGAAGCTGCGCGAGTATAAAACCACGTACTTTTAGGCATGCATACAAATGGCAGCATGTTCTTTTTTTCCTCCTTTTCCCTTCAGCCAATAAAAACGCGGAGGTATATCAGGCAAAGCCAATAGCAAAGCTGAGAGACCTCTTCAAGACTCACTTGTTCATTCTCGAAATAAACGTAGAGAATGGTGGGAGGCAGGAAGTCCTTGTGCTTTTTAAGGGTCGGACTGTACTTTTGCTGGAGAGATGTCTCCACGTCTGGACATGCTTAGAGGGAATGGGTGGGGGAAATGAATGCAGTTAGTAGGCGGGATACAGAAAAGGTGTTCTCGATTTCCACCAGCTGACTCAGTCGGCTTTCTGAGGTTGAGAAGGGTGCCAGTTAAAAGACATGGCAAAGGGAAATAAACAAAAGTATTTTTGTGTGTCATTTGAAGGAGTGACCAACGGCGCTTTTCATGCAATACGCTAGTACCACAGAATTACAAAGGAGGAGTTTGACCACCACACTGGAAAACAATATCTGTAACTTGAAACTCAATACAGCGGACGAACTGCATAGGAATGGCAGTCCGAGAAACTGAAGTGCGTCAGAAGAAGAGAGGAAATATATAGGTAGTTAAAGATGGGATATAAATGAACGCTGCTAGGAAGGTAAGCTCAGCAATCGAATGATTAGCGTGGTTATTTTTGAATCTCTCCCATAAAGATCTGAGACTTCTGCGTGTCTTTGTTTTGATTGTCGGAGAGGAAAAATAATAATTACAAAGAGTCCGATTTGGGTTCCTTGCCCACGGCGAGCAAAAGCGATAGTTTCTCTGCTCCTCTAATCTGACCGCTTCCTGATCCTGGGTTTGGAATGCGTTGGGGTAGCGTAGCTGACTGCAGAGCGATTGGGATTATTTTGCGTTGTTTTCGTTTTTGGCAAGCTGTCACGAGTGCGCGGCCCAGTTAAGATGGGCAGCCACGTGGTGGAGCCGGTCGGAAGAAGAACAGCTCGAACTCGCCTAAATGCAGAGGGGGGTGGGGGGAGGTGGAGAAAAGAACGCCGAGCTTCCCGGGGGAGGGAAATGTTCTGTTCTGTACCGCTCGCTCCTGCAGTTGCCGAGGCGATGAGAGGCTACGCCGATGATGCAAATGTACAAACCGGTTCAAGAAGGCCCTAAGCGCCGCCCAGATCCTAAATTCAGCCGATGCTTCTGAGCCATCCCGCAGCCGCAGGTGCAGCCGTTTTTTGTTTGCTTCTTCCTCGTGGTAGTCGAAGTTATAGAGGACCATCTTGGAAAAAAAAAAGAGAAAAGCGATTGTAAAGCTGCACTATAATAAAAACCCTCGTTTAGATATATAGGAATAGGAAATCAAGGGCCGTGCTAGTGCATAACCTTAGAGTTGGAAATTACAAGATCCGAATTACAAGATCCGCAATGCTGGCTCCTGCGTCTGCTTCCTTAATAATAAACTCTGTTCGGGAAGATTAGACCCTGATCAAAGAGGTAGACCGCATCCATTTGTTTTAAATTTGACGAATCAGTTTGTAATTATATATCTATATCTCAACTTCCGGATTATAGGAAGAAAAACTATAGGCAATGTGTATTTGTAGTGGCGGAAATATTTATATGTACAATATACATAAGCCTCTCAATTGAAATACTGTGAATGTCAGTGATTGAGGGGGGGAGGGTCGAGCAGGACATTTTAAAACTTTCACACTTCTACCAGGAATAAAAAGGACATTTTAATCGTGATTCTGCATTTCAAAGGAATAGGCCGCTAACTTTGCAAAACGGACTATACTTTCCACTAACCAAAAGTGTGTTTCTAAGAGCCCCTTTTGAGTAGCATTTTTTTTTTTTTGCTTTGGGGATGGATTATTTGCTAAGCATTCTGTTAATTATGAGGATGACTAAAAGAAACACTGGAAAAAATGAAATTACAGAGTTTTCATAGAACTAGTAAGCCACTGTGTGTCACTATATAGTCTTTATTTTCAAAATGCTCTGCTTCTGTTTATGGTTGCAGTAAGTTGTATTTCTCAAACCTATTTTTTTTTAAATATTCTAACCAGTGTGTTACTTTAAAATAAGTGCTGTGGAAGTAATCCATATCTAATGGTTTTAAATCTGTGACCAAGATATATGTTTTGTTTTTTATCTGTGGATTTCCCCCAATAAATTTATGATTGTTTCCTATAATGACTAACACTGCATTTTAACTGTCTTAAAATTACAAAATTGCTTGCATATTATCTGCTTACTCTTAAGCACTGTTGACATGATATTAAAAAGCAGCAGCAATTCTTCCCCTACATTATTTTCTTTTTCCAGCCAGCAGTCTCTCCTGTATATAAGCAAAAAGACATAACAGAGAACTAAACAAATTCCGTACTTTTGCTGGGCCTAAACCTGGCAGTATGTTTACAAAAAGAAACACAAAATCTGTAACCTCAATTACTTGGGAAGATCAAGTATCATCAATCCCTATAGAAAAATTGACTAAAGAACTTATTAATGTTTTGAAAAATATCTTCATAAGAAAACTACAGTTTAATTTGATACTTTCAATGCCTTTGAGTCAGATATGCTAGCAAAAACAATTTTTAAAATATTAGTTTGGTTCAAGAATCTGGGAAAGAAATGGAAAACACTTATTTTCTGTTGTGAAAAGAGTGTCACTTGCTGATACCTGTTTAGATTAAAATATTTTTTCCAGTGGTTAAGAGCAGAAATGTATTTCACAGTTTCCCATAGGATTTATTTATTGTTTTCAAAGACGTTTGAAAAAATGCTCTCCTTGGACAATTTTTTTACTATTTTGTTTGTTTGACTGATGATCACATCACCTAATATATATGGTATGTATGTATGTATGTATGTATGTATGTATGTATGTATGTATGTATCTCTATCTATCTATCTATCTATATCTATCTATCTATCTGTACAACAGAATTGGAAGGGATCTTGGAGGTCTATCCCTCTGCTCAAACAGGAGACCCCATATCATTCAGGACAAATGGCTGTCCAAAGTCTTCTTAGAAACCTCCAGTGATAGAACAACCACAACTTCTGGAAACAAGCTGTTCCACTAGTTAATTGTTCTTACAGCCAGGAAATTTCTCCTTCGTTCTAGATTGGATTTCTCTTCAATAAGGCTTCAACTGTTACTTCTTGTCCTGCTTTCAAGTGAAAATTGATATGGCTGCCCACTCTCAGTGATTCAGTATCACTTTTAAAGATAAAACCCAATCTAAAAATAAGAAAAAGCAATAAGCCCCTGCCCCTGGCAAATTTTATGACCTTAAGAAACAAATAATAGGAACAACAGTTCTGAGTTCCAATTGTTTTCTGTGACCGCAATACTTGAAACATTCCAAGCACAGCAATAACATTCTGGTAGAACCTTTTAATAAGGATTGTTTTATTCCAGATCCAGAACAAAGCATTTTAAAATTTTGTTTTGTACATACCCTTATGATTTATGCTTCCAGCTTTCTTGCTTTCAATATAATTGACTTTTTAGTATAAAATAGTATGATTTTATTAAGAAATAATCTGACTTACTTCCTTATTTTCTAAATAATAATAGTTTATTCAACTTATATGCCACCCATCTCTCAAAAGTACAGGTGCAATCAATGGAGAGATCTTATTCTATTACCAAAGACCTGGATAAATGAGGCTTTTAGTGCTATGTACACATTACTGTGGGTATTTAAATGGTCTCATAATGCTCAACAAATAAGTTGGCTTATGATAGAATCAATTGAAGATAAACATTCCTAATGGTATAAAATTATATTATAGAATAAAGCATCCAATGAAGTTTCTGTGTAATATATATAAAAAGCAGAAAAGCTATAGTAAATGAATAATTCCATTTTAAAATATATCATTTAAATGTGGTAAGATGTATGATTTCCTCACCATAATGATTCTTTATAATGGGGGAGGGAGGCTTGCTTACAACTAATTCCTTGAGACTGAAGTAAATGCTTGGTCAGTTTCTTCTGTTCCACTGTAATCTATTTTGTTTGAGGACAAATAAAAGTCAGGTATAAAAGAACAATTGAAATTATCCGTCTCCCTCTCTTCCTCTTCCTCTCCTTCTCTATCTCTCTAGTTTCTGCATCAGTACTGCCTGCAAAAGACCAGTCCAAAAGTGAAGGATATGAACAATTGGATGCATCACTTATATTGGGAGATAATGACTTCTATTCCTAAACAATACATTGTTTTTTTGTAGTATTTTTAGGTGCTGTGCTTTCATAAATAAAATTTAAATGATGAATATGAACAAGAATTATATAAAATTGATACAAATCTTTTTTTTCTCCCACTGTTTTGATACTTTGCCTCATTAATTATTTCACAGGAGTTGTTTCAGCTATTTCAGCCAAAGGGACCATAGCAATCATAACAAATGCCAAAAGTACACAGGTTGCTTTCTCTGTTCAGGCATGCTTTAAATGTATACAAGTAAACAAATGGTTGAACGTTAAATTCTTTGCCTAACCACCACATACCAGTAATTACTTACTATAGGATCGTGATGGCGAACTTATGGCATGTATGCCAGAAGTGGCATGCAAAGTCACTTCTGCCGGCATGCGAGAGGTCGCCCAGAAGAGCCCCACTGCGCATGCGTGCACCACTGCCCAACAGCTGATTGCCTGGTATCTGGCACGCATGTGCAAGGGCGTGCAGGAGACGCATGTGCATGTGTAGAGACGTGTGGCGCATGCAGGAGGATCACACGCGCATGCACAGGGGGCATGGGGGGGCAGCATGCATTGCCTTCTGGGTACTGGTGCGCAATTTTTGGCATGAGAGCCGAAAAAGGGTAGCCTCCACTACTATAGGAGATCATCCCACCAGAAAATGTATTAATGGAGTTATCAGTGATAGTTTTCACGAATGTATGCATGGGGCCTTCATATTCACAAGGTGCTTTGGCTAGTAAGCAAATAAAGGATTGAAATGAGTCATGAACAGAAGTGAAGGATTGTGCCATGCAAAGGGCATTAGCCCCCCGCCCCCAAATAGAATAGTAAGAATTCCAGGGAAAGTACTTGGAAGTTAAGTGAACCCCAATCAAACCTGTGCCAAATTACAAGTTTGACAGTGGAAGTTGGAGATGACAGGATAAGTAATCAAGTACAATGTTTTGAACTAAGACTATAAAAAAAATGAGTGGTTCTTTGGCTAGATTTATGAGAAGTACAATAAAGGAATATGCTGAAAAGAGAAAAGAAAACTTGGAATAAATTACAGTATTGGATATTTTATTGCTTTTGGATCTTTAGTGAACAAGATAGAGTTTCTGGCAAATACACTACAGAAGAGCTGAAGTACTTTACCTATAGGAAGGAGGTAACACTTCAGCTTTGGGCCAGTTTCTACCAGGGATCTAATTTAGTCAATTCAACATCTCCCTCATAAATTTACCAGTAAGCTTTTTTGGTTAGATAAGGCTTTTCAGTAACTCTGGTGCAGTCCCATTTGTAGTAGATTCCAAGTGTTTGCTTGGTTGGATTTTTCAGAATAAAATAGAACCTTTTGAGTGACAGAAGTTGGATAACATTTAAAGAAAAATACCGGAGAGAAACAGCAGTTAAACAGAAAGGTCGTATTGTACATTTGAATGTTTTGTAGCACTATAGAAATGACTGTATTCATGTCTGCACAAGTGCATGTACTGCTGTTTCATAAAGAGTAGGTTATTGATATTGTAAAGGCACCTCTGTATGCCTTTGCTATCTTTAAAAATGAATAACTATTAACATAGGACTGTTGTCTTGCCTATTCTAACAGTTAAAAATATTATTTGCCCCCTCCATGTTACCGTATCTGTAATTGTTCTTAACAGAAGAATATAAACAACAAAAAGGATAAAACATGCCTCAAATGGAAGGTTCTCCATGTGCTTTCCCTGTCTGGCTAACAGGTAATAAAACTGAAGTATTTAACTAGGAATAGTAAATGCATGTTTTGTAAACATAATTTCTGCTTGTTTTCTTAGATCAGATGCACTAACAAAGCTCTGTTCAAAAGCCTTCTCTAAAATTGTAATTAATTTTTTTTTCTGATACACCTCTTTCTGGTTGCCACGTAACCAGTTATATCCATATTATTATAATATCTTCATTGTTAATCTTATGCCCTACCCTTTTTCAATTTATTTTGTATTTTAATTACTCAGTTTAATGAAACAAGAAGAGGACATTTATACACATGTTTGAAACAGTATAGATGACTAAGGATATGATTTTAGGCCCTTTGCAGTAATCAGCTAAACAGGCCCCTTGCTATGAGAATTCAGGTTGCTATGGTTACCTATGGAAACTAGGACTTTGGGTTAACTCAGGACAAGGATGCACAAAGCTCAGTACCTCACGTCTCAACATCCACTAATGTGTCCTTACCTGTGTATCTGAGTCCCACCCCCACCCCCAGACTTTAGTTGTAGGATAACCAGCTGAAATTTCCCTAACAGAATTCACCAGTTGTAGAAGTCTGCATTCAACTTACACAATAGAATAGAGACCTGTACATCAAATATCATTCGAGTTAAGATGAAAGACAAGAAGACCGCTGTTTTAATTGGTGATCTAAGAAAGTGTTAGCCTGACATAAACGTTGTTTTCTTTGTCCATTAGATTCTGAAATAAATACTATGCTGTAATATGTTCCCTTCTGAGAGGGTAGATATGAATAGTGTTTGTAGGATTTAATTGCAGAAGTTGAGCAAAAGAATATTAAGTAAATATGAGCAAAAGAAAAGGAGTTAGGGAAATGAGAGATTAAGATAGGATTTAAAGCTTAGCAACTAAATATTGGATCTTGGTATGTCTCTAATCTAAAAGATAGGTTAAATGTTAGATTTTTTTTAAAAAATAAAGTTACAATCTCTACAAGATTATAAAGTGACCTTCAGTACAGCAAACACTGTGACAGTATAAAGTCTGGAAGTGATAGGAAGATCATCTAGTCCAGCTGTGCGTTCAGGACAAAACTCCATACAGGTAGTCCTCGATTTATGAGTATACAATTGACCCCATTTGTGTTGTTAAGCAAGACACTTATTAACATTTGCCCCATTTTACAATTTTTCCTGCCATAGTTGTTAAGCTCATCTCTGTCTCAAAGTCGAAGAGCCAGCTGTCAACTCATAAAAAATATTTCTATGGTCTTTTTAGAGTTGCCAACAGAAAGGGAGGGGGGAGCAGTGCGGCAGCTTGGAAACAGAAAGTGCATGCCAGAAATAGTTTTCAAAGATAGTAACTAGGTGACTGAAGTTTCTGCCGCACAGAATTCTAATTGGATTGATGATACTTGGCTATGGATGTGTCCCATTGGACAATATTGAATTATAATACATCCAGTGGGTAGGGGAAACCCAGGTCAAGGATGACAGTGAATTACGTGTCTCAGAGTCAGCTATACCCACACAGTGCTGGACATTTTAACTTCCAATAAATTCTTTTGAAGTTTTGGAAGTATGGCTCAAGACTCATGATTTAATTGGAATAACTGCTGGAATCCTGACAGCAAGCGGTGTGGTGGCCTAGCAATGAAGCTAATCGCCTTGCATGCAGAAGGTTGAGAGCTCAATTCTAGGTAGCGGTAGATGTTGCTCTCTCCCTTGGGTGCAAATAAAAAAATGCTGAGAACGCCATATGGTATCAGGAAGGGCATCCAGCCAATAAATGCTCAGCTTCATCAGCCCTGACTTGGGAAGAGAGTCATGAAAAGGGGAGGTTTTTTCCTTCCAGTACTCATCTGTTTTTCTTTCCTTCACAGAATCAGGTTTCTTTTCCATAGAGCTGTCTCGAGTGTCCAGGTTGGGAGGAGCTCCAGTCTCGGCTCTCACAGGCTGAGCTTGAGATTGAGGAACGCCTCTCACCATCACGTGGTCCTCTGGGCGCTCCCCAGTTTTTTGCTCAGCCTCGTGGCAGTCAGGCTGTTTTTCCTTTTGCTCCTGGTCGTTCAGTACTTCAGGCCTTTTTGATTCAATTTGGACTCTACTAAGCCAGCGCAGGAAATTAAGGTTGGAACTCCCTAGGGAGCCCTTCTCTTTTAAGGGGAATTCGCTTACAACGTTTCTTCAGGGGAAACTCCAGCGCTTCGAGCGCTGCTCCCGCCCCTCCTTCGTTTGCCGCCTATTCGCCCCGCGCGAAGCCGCTTCGTTCCTTCCCTGCCTGGTGCTCTAATCGCCGTTTCCCCCCCGCGAACGCCCTCTAGCCCAGGGAATCGCTTCCCTGCCTCTCCCAAAGGTTTTTTCTTTGTGGCCTCCGGGCCTCTCTGCCTCTGCCTGGGAGATAGCCGCCGCTGGGGTTGCCCTCGTTATTGCGGCCTCCATTTTGAGCTCCCTGTGGCGCCCGCCATCTTGGGTGTGCCCAGGAGCCGCCGCCATTTTGCGTGTGGCCGCATGGCCGGCCGCCATTGCCAGAGGCCCATAACAGGCTGCTTTTCTTTAATTTGATTTATAGGCAGACTTCGGACTGCCTATATCTCTGCCTGT